CAGGTATTCCCCACCCATGTATTTTTTTAAAATGTCTAACTTTTTTTATTGTCTTAAAGTACACATAAAATAAAATTTACCATTTTAACTGTTTCGAAGTACATAATTCAATTTCACTAATTACTTTCACAGTGTTGTATAACCATCATCACTCTCCATTTCTAGAACTTTTTATCATGCTCATACTGAAACATTCAACCATTAAATAATAGCATCTCCCTGCTACTCTTTACCAATCTCTGTAAACTCTATTCTGTTTTTTTGTCTCTTGCCTATTCTACTTCCTCCTTCCCCTTTCCTTGCCCTCACCTCCTCTCAAAGGGAACAGTGTGCAATGACATAAAGCTTGGGGGTAACTCCGAAATTGTGAATGTCTGAACCAGTGATAGGGGGTGGCAGTGGGTATCATGTGTGTCCTCCTCCACAGCACCAAGGGCTCTCCTTTGGCTCCAAGAGGACTGGGAGTATCCCCAGATGGCTTCCCGGCCCCTCTGCTTTGCAGCACTCTGTTTGAACATCATTGTGCTTGAGAAGGAAAAATCCAAGCTCATGACATGAGGATCGGATAACTGTACTCGATCCCATCAGGTAGGTCTGGTGGGTCTGGTTTCCAGTTTTCTCACTCACAAAGAACACTGGTCTCCCAGGACTGCAAGGTTCTAGGTTGGAGTGAGACATGGGGGCCCAGAAACGGGGAGAACGCCCACCCTCCCCCTTCACAAAGTCTTAGGACCTATCTTAGGACCCGGCTCAGTTAGCAAAAAGTCACAGGACTTCAAGTTATTTAAAATGTGGATAGAAGGGGATGGTGGCGGGTCAGATAAACACCACAGGTGTGGAGTATTGCTCCATTTTTTTTGTGATTCCTTATTGTTACTTCTCCCAAATGGTGGCATTGCCTATTCTACTTCCAGGAATCAGTCAGAAATGATTGTGTAGAATCCACAATTCAAGGAAGAGCAACCCCGAGGTACAGTGTTAGGCATGCATTGAGTTCCAAAATCTAACACCTATCATTTGTTTAATGCAACTTTTTCCTTCAAAACCCTACTGTGGCTTCAGGTTAATTAACATGAGGTCCGATTTCAGATTTCTACATCTTGAATTATGCATTTTGTCTTTTGACCTATGGCCATCAGGCATCAGTAGTGTGTGTGTGCGCGCGCGTGGTCCAGTTAGAAACAGCGAGTGAGAAGTGATATAGACATCTCTTCTCATAGATCCTTGAAGGGATGGAGAGGGTTCTGGAATCTTGATTGAAGAATTGCTGCTAGACATGATCTATTCGTATAGTGCAATACTATTCATCAGTAAAGTAGAAAGACATGTTGCTACGTCTTATAACTTGGGCGAATCTCAAAAACATTATTCTGAGTGAAAGAAGCCAGACATAAAAGACTAACTATGGTCTGATTCCATTTATATTATATTTCCAGAATTAACAGATGCACAGAGACAGAACATGGATTCCTGTTTGTCAGAGACTGGAGGAAAGGGAGTGTGGGCCGTGACTGCTAATGGTAACAAGGGATCCTTTTTGGAGTGATGGGAAGGTTTAAAAGTTACATTGCGGTGATGTTCACACAACTCAGAGCCATCGAACTGCACACTTGGCACAGGTGAATTGTATAGGTAAAGGGTATCTCATGCTGTTTTTAAAAAGCCGCCCCCCCCACTCTCCCTAGGACCTTTAGATATGCACAGTTTGTGGGGGAGGGGGAGATATTTGGTACCAGGACAGGAAGGCTTCCAAGTTACCAGAAACTGCTAGAAAGCGCCAAGTAATCGTAGATCTGAACCGGTTTTGCTGCTAGGTAGGCTACACCAAAACTCCCCATCCTGCGTTTTTAGAGCTTTTGGAATTCTGGAATGCTCTGAAGAGAAACAAAGAAGTCTGACAGAATCCCATTGCCAGTAAGAGTTCATGTGAGAATTCTGTGAACAAGAAAGCAGGCTCTTGTCTGAGGGGGAGAAAACAACCCTAAACCTGATTTTTAGAGTCATCTTTCCAGATCCTGCAGTGGCCCTTACAAAGTGCACACAGTCTGACCTTTTTGTCTGTATTGACTGTGGTCCCTGGAACACACGTGCCTCCTGGGCACACACCCTGGGGACAGTTTGTGGGGCCCCATGCAGTACAGACCCTGCTGTGAGAGGACCCGACCCAGCTGAGTGAGGACCTTCCCTCGCTTAGAGGTTTGTTGGCTCTTACATCAACACAGTTGCCGTTCTGTACTTAGATCCCAAACCAGATGGCATAAGGGAAAAAATAGAGAATTCCTTATGGCTCTGGTATGTCTCCTCCCTGGCCCCAAATTCTCAATTTCTTTCCACAGGGCAGGGGAGAGATTTTCAGAGAGGCTGAGCTGATCTCTGCCAAAGGAGAATGCCTGTCCCGTACGTGGCCATGATAGCAGTGAGCCCCTTTGCCTGCTCCCCCAACAGCCTTTCCCAATGGGGCCGCTTGAGGCTGGTGTAAACGGTGTGGTGCAGGCTTCCAAGTGGAAGCCCCAAGAGGCTGGATCCTCTGCTCCGATTGCGATCTGCGGACTGGCCTCACCTGGAACCTGTGACAAATTCGGAGTCTCAGGCCCCAACCCAAACCTGCTGGCTCACAGCTTGCGTCTCAGCAAGATTTCCAGATGCTTCCAACAACATGCATTAAAGTTGAGAAGCACTAGCTTAGAGGAAGACCCAAGTAATAGGAAGAACTGGAAAGGAATTGAAGAAGCGATTTTTATCCTTTATAGATCTAGAAGTCTCTGTCTCTTTGGCAGAGGCTGAGGACGGCCACAGGGTTTCACTCCTCCCCGACTGTCCGTGGAGAGGCCGGTCATTGAGGCCCTGAGTCCTGGTTAGTTTGAAGGATGGTGACCTTGGATTCTCTCTTCTGCTTGTCTGAGCCTGGGCCTCCTGGGGGACCTTGGTTTAAAGTTTTGGTGAAGGGGAGTTGGGGAGGGATAGCACTAGTAGGAAAGGTCTGTCTCCTTGTGGCAAGGAGAGGGCAAGGGGACCGCTGGTGCAAGCTTAGGAGAGACTCTCAAATGTCCTTCATCGCATTCCTTACTATAACCCAGTGACTCGCTAGATGCTGGTACTTTCTAGGCTCTGACCAAATGCCCCAAGGCAGATCCTTCATGCGCTGGCCCACCCATGGCTCAGTGTCCAGTCTGAGAAGTAAGCAGCAGCAAAACCATTCCCTTCGCCAGTCACCAGTCCCCTCTTTGCCTCTTTCCCAAATCCGAATTGTTCTGGTGCTTGGTTTGAGAGGGCCGTAGATCATTCTAGAAACCCAAGGAGCACATGTGTTGCCTCTCACCCATGATTACGGCCGAGTTCTGGGGAGCCCTGGTGTGACCCTTGAGAGCGAGTCCCCTCACATCTCCAGCCCGTACCCCTCATGCGTTTTGGCTTAAACCAGGGTTCACTGTGGACGCAGTGCAAGTGAATCACAGCGTAGGCCCCCCGTGATAACGTTCCTGAGGGTTTGGGGGTTTTGTGGTGGTGGTGGTGGTGGTGGTGGTGGTGGTGGTGGTTTGAGTTCTTTGCAGTTGGTTTCCCGCCATGGGTCAATTGTTCCATTTTTCGCATCACCTGCAGTCCTCACAAAACATGTGCCGTAGACAGCGAGTCATGATTTTAGAGCTCATTTACCAAAGGCTGTTATTATGTCAGCCAAATAGGTATAATTTCTTGTTTATGAATGTTCGTTTTTTATCAGCCGTCTTGTTGGTATGTGATTATGCTTGATTATGTAACTGCGGCTGCCATGTTCAGGACTCCCTTTGCCTCTTGGTCTCATGGCTGATCCTCTCAATTCTGAGTCGGCGTACAGAGAAAGGCAGGGATGAAAAGCACGTCGATCAGTATTGAAGATCTGGACCTTTCTCTCAGACATGACATCTGGTTGTAGGGCCACCGACTTGGATTATCCAAAACAGCGATCCACACCCCTCCCCCGGTCTCTAGAATTAGTGACATCCGGTCTTGGCTCTCTTTTTGATACCCCTCGTGTACTGTATTTCCATTCAAGTTCATGAAAATGAATTGTGTTTAGACACCTTTTGGCACCCTTAAGAGTTAACTGGAGATACTGTGAAGCAGGAGGCTCGAGTCTGCCCACTGCCCCAAGCTGTGTCCTTTCGAGCACCTCCTCCTGTTCACTCACAAATAGGCCACATACACCCACATGTTTCTGTGTCTGTCAGAATCTTATATACAATGGCTTTTGTGCTAAGCAGAAAGCTCTGCGTATCAGAAAGTCAGGTGGGAAGAGTCTCTGAAGACCATCATGTTTGCCTTTTATCTGGAAAGTTCTGTGGATGGTGCTTTCCCCCCAAGGAATAATTGCAGTGGTAAAATGTCAGGCAGGGGGTAGTAAAGGGATCAGAATGAGGCTTTCGTGCTCTTAAAACAACCCTGCTTACATTCCTGTCCTCTTTCCCAGTGGTAATAAGCAGAGGTTATGGACATTCCTGGGAGGACTTGACTTAGCCCAAGCTGGTGATGCCATCCACTGCATTTTTTGTAAATAAGATGTTATCAGAACACACCCCACCTATTCATGTACAGCTCGTCTGTGGTTGCTTTCCTGCCACAACAGAATCGAGTGGTTGAAACCACATGCTCTGAAGAGCCAGAAATATTTGCTCCTGGCCCTTCACAGGGAAGAAAATCCTGCCAAGCCTTGACTTGAGATACTTGCATTCTTAGCCCACATTGCAGATTTAATCTATTTATGGAAGACAACACTCAGAGACTTTGCTAGTACTCACTTTCCTGAGATCATCATTTGGGATCCCTCCCTTTCTTCAGGCTTCAGAATCCTTGTTCCCCAAGGGGTCCCACTATCCACAGGCTTTAGGCTAAGGCTCAGCCCTTCTTCTGAGAGCACCTTGGTCCTTTCTAGAAGCTCAGCCCCTTTGGTCTCTTTCAGGCCCTTCTCTGAGCATTCCCATAATGAACCAAGTCCTGTGACATGATATCAGGGGGTTCTTCTCATCAGCTGTGCCCTCCAATGTCCTTCAGATTTTCTCTTCTGTGACCTGTAAAGACTGTCTTTGTTTTAATCAGTGTAATATTGGGGGTCATTTTTTTAAAAAGCTTTATGTATTTGAAAGAGTGAGAATGTGTGTGGGGAAGAGGGGTGGGGGGGAAGGAGGAGGTGAGAGAGAGAGAGAGTGTGTGTGTATGTGTTAAGCAGACTCAGTGCTGAGCATGGAGCCTGAGCAGGGCTTGATCTCATGACTCTGAGGTCATGACCTGAACAGAAACCGAGAGCCGTCTAGTCAACTGACTGCAACCCCCCAGGCACCCCGGGTCTTTTTTCTTTCTTTTCTTTTCTTTTTTTTTTTTTTTTAAGTTTTTATTTTAATCACCCAGTGCTCATCAGGACAAGTGCACTTCTTAATCTTGGGGGTCATTTCTCTAAGTGGTGTTTCAGAGTATGAGCCTCTGATGCCCTGAATCAGAATCACCAAGGATGCTGGTTAAGCATTCAGATTCCCGGGCCCCACCCACCTTGGGATGGGTCCCAGGAATTTGGTATGTTTTAATATGTTCCCCAGGCAATTCAGATGTGCTCTGAAGTTTGAGCGCCACAACTCTATCTGCAGAGGGTCATAACCTTGGTTAGGAAACTATATCCTCGTTATACCATCTCTGGCAAAGATACCTTTCTGAAATTGAAATTCAAAGGCAACTTGGATACCTATTGACACACCAAGATGCCCCAAACTAAATCACCACATCCGTAGCAGACCGCACTACCAAATTCAACGACCACTCCTTTTGTGTTCTTATATTGTCGTTGTGTCTTTCTGTATTAAAAAAATGTGGGGATCCTGTTGTAGAGTCACTGGCAAACTCTAGAGCTGTGGCTGCTTATTATCTACTGTTGAGTGGCAAGTTAATTTTGAATTTAGCAGCTAGACACGACATTTGTTATCTCCATTTCTGCAGCTCAGGAGTCTCGGCTTGGCTTAGCAGTGTCTGGGTGTCCAGTGAGGCTGCTGCGAAAGTATCGGCTGAGGCCGCAGTCTCATCAGAAGGACCAACCATGGAAGAATCCACTTCCCAGCTCACTGCATGCTTTTTGGCAGGACTTGCTCCCTCACAGACTGCTGGCCCAAGACACCTCTGGATTCTTTGCCGTATGTGCTTTCACATAGCTCCCTCATGACTTGGCAACTGGTTTCATGAGAGAGAGCAAGTAAGCGGGTGAGAGAGAAAGTTCCAGCAAGCCAGAAGTCATGGTCTTTGGAAACCTCATCAGGGAAGCACGTCCCTAGATCCAGGCACTCAGGGAGAGGGAATCACAAAAGGGTGTGACCACCATGAGGCATGGGGACCTTCTGGAGTATCTTAGAAAGCTGCCTGCCATAGCCGTATACACGTTTCTGGGTAGAAGTGCGCCCTTCCTCCCCCCAGAGCGTGGTCTTCTCTCCTTGAGGACAGTGGCCCCTTCACTTTCCTGTCACCGAGTAGAGGAGCCTGTAGGTTCTGCAGCCACAGAATCTGTCCCAGGAGATTACCCCACCCAGGTGGGGGGTGGCTCCTGCTTTTTGCTGCGGATCCTTTGTTCCCCACAGAGATTCACAACCCTCTTAAAATTACTAGTGTTTTTTGTAAACATCAAGCTTAAGAAACAGGTCTCTCTTTTTTGGAAGGTATAATTGACATGTGTAAGGTGCATATATTTAAAGTGGCCTGTTTGCTAACTTGGATATGTGAATGTGCCTGCGAAACCAGCAGCACAAGCCAAATGGTCCTTCGATTCACAGGTGTCCCCAGGTCCCTCTGTAGGCCCTCTCTCTCACCTGCCCTCTCTGACCAACCGTCATTTTCTGGAATGGCCCTTCTGATGATTTGTTCACATAAATTCCCTACTGTTTCTTGAACCCAGCCATTCCTGTAAAATGTGTGACACTGACTGTGTTAGATAATAAAAATCCCACTGAGTAAATTGTATAGATCCAATTGGTTCTGTTAAATGGTGGATGACTCTGTCGGCATCCCATCGAGCAAGTAGAGGGGCTCTGAGTATTTGTTCAAAATGGAGGGTTTTCAAAGAAGGATGGTGAGGCAAGAAATTTATAGCAAAAGGAAAGGATTGTTCCAGGCAACGCCCTTCTTTTAGGGAGAAAAGCAAGGGGTCCTGACATCTCATACGGATGACCTCATCTTTCCTTGGGGGATGGAGAAGACCCCTGTGGCAGACTCTTTGGCGCTGGCTGATTGAAAAAATTCCTGACTGACTGGTTATGACTGCATTTCTGGGAGAGGCTGACATAGCTAGATTAGGTGTTAAGCCCCTGACTTGGGGACTTGGCCTAAGTGATGCCTTTTGGGCCTGTGGTTTTCCTATTAACAGCTGCTTCATGGCTCCAGCCTTTGATTTTCATCCTTCCTGCCTCTGTGGAACACACCCTGTGCCCTTTGACTAAAGCTCTGAAAGGCCCATTCTGCTCCCACCCACTCCAGTCTGGCCTACACAGCCCGGCCAGATAGATTTCTCACCAGCGCCCCTCAGGCCTCATCCTTCACCTGCTCACAAACCTGCCTCTGTCCCCGCTGCCTGCCAAGGGAAGGACTCCCGGCTTCTCCTGTGATGCTGCCCCATGTCTCCATAAAGTCGGCCATGTCCTCACCTCGTCCCACTGGGCCTCCTCTCTTCCCCCGCTACACGCAGTTGTTGAATTTGTTCACTCTTAATTTGAGAAGATGTCATTACTTTGATAAAAATTATCTTGTACTGCTTGTGCCATATTGCAAATGTTAGAGGCTAATCTATTTTTAAGATTTTCACAACATGCCACAAATATGAAAATTTATTATTTTTTTAAGATTTTATTTACTTATTTGACAGAGAAAGACGCAGGAAACAGAAGCAGAGGGAATGGGAGAGGGAGAAACAGGCCCTCCACAGAGGAGGGAGCCCAATGCAGGGCTTGATTCCACGACCCCGGAATCATGACCTGAGCCTAAGGCAGATGCTTAATGACTGAGCCACCCAGACACCCCTGAAAATTTCATATTTAACAAATTTTAGGACAAGAATTTAAAGGGATCCGTTGAAAAGCCATTTCCTTTGCATCATTAAAAATAGTTGCAGCGTTCTTCCCATTAGGCTGTTGAACTTTTAGGTCAGTGAAGGTTGGGAGAGAATGGAGAAGCAAGCTGTCATTCAAGTGACTTCTCATTTAGCGCTTTGTCAGGACGCTTCCCATCCACTGACTTCATGATACATTCTTCATGCCTTATGCCAGCAGTTCACAGGCTTTTGGCTGTTAGGTCCCCCTCACACTCTCAAAAATACCTGAAGACCCCCAAAAACCTTTTGCTGATGTGGGTTATATCTGTCAATGTTTCCTGAATAGAAATTATAACCAACTTATTATTAAATAATGAATTTATTTCAAATAGTCACAAATCCATTACACGTTAACATTGTGTTTAAGAAAAATAACTACTTTTCAAAACAAAACTTCAGTAAGAAGAACAGTACGGTTTTAGATATTCGTAAATGTCCTTGAGACCTGACTCACTGCTAGACAACTGGGTTCACCTGTCTGCCTCTGCATTCATCCCCAGGCATCTTGGATAACTGGTTTGGATTTAGGTATGTGATGGAAACTTGGTCTCTTGACATACCTGCAAACGGTTTAATGTCCTTTCCATATATTTGTGAAACTTACCCTGATAATACACCAAAATTCAACAACTGGTGAATTCAACAATCTTTCCTAAAGATTATTTGTAATGTGGACTCTGGAGACATCTGTGACCTTGTTTAGTTTTGTACTCTGTTGATCTCCATTGGACTTTGATTGGCTCTGTATGCAAGAATGATTTTGCAACCTTACGTAAATGTCGGTCATGCAGAAAATACTGGTTCTCCAAGTCAAGCAGATCTTCCAAATACACATTTCATTATGCCACATCAAAAAAGTCCCATTTGTTAATATCGCCACCAGTTTCACCCAGAAGGGTTTTAGGTGTTGGGAAAGCTGGGACTTTCACTGTGGCAGGTACAAGGTTTCCAGAATACCACCAATGGTTGTCTAGCTTACTTAGATCATCTTTGAGAAAATGTGTGCCAGACACCCAAGTCTTCCTAGCTAGAGTTTTTCACTAATTCAAGAAAAAATGATATTCCAAAACAAAAAAAGGTACTTGTTTGGCTTGCAACTCAGTCACAGTAGAATTTTCTGTTAGGACAGCCATCACACTTCGGTGTGCCGCAGATGTGCTTTGTGCCTTGCTCTGGCTTCATCACACACTATTCGAAGGTGTATCCTTGGGAGGTTGTGATTTGGTAAAATTCATCACTTCTTTACTGTGTCATGGACCTTTTTTAGTAAAACTATTTTAAATTTTTTAAAAAAGATTTATTGAGAGAGAGTGCGAGTGGGGGAAAGGGGTAGAGGGAGAGAGAATCGCATACCCCCTCTAAACATGGCACCAGACGCGGGTCTCAAGCTCACAATTCTGAGATCATGACCTGTAATCAAGCTGGAAGCTCAACCAACTGAGCCACCCAGGCGTCCTCCTCTTTTTTTTTTTTTTTTTTTTTTTTTTTTAACCGCGCATGCGTGCTGGAGAAGAATGCCTGGAGGCTGAATACCTTTCACTGCTACTGCCTGACGGGAGCTACTCTGTCGCCAGGTCACCACGCAGATGTCAGCTCAGTAAAAACAGTAACATCTCAGGCGTGCCTGGGTGGCTCAGTCGGTTAAGCATCTGACTTTTGATTTCAGCTCTGGTCAGGGTCTCAGGGTGCTGAGATCAAGCCCCATGTCAGGCTCTGTGCTCAGCACTGAGTCTACTTGAGATTCCCTCTCTCTGCCCCAACCCCTGCTTGCTTGTTCTCTCTTTCTTTCTCTCCCTCAAAAATAAAATGAATCTTTAAAAAAACCCACAAAAAACAGTAATATTTTAGTGTTATTTCTAAAAAGAGGTTTAACCTCACAGACCTCCTGAAAGAGCCCCTAGTCTCCCAGGATGGCCCAGGCCCCGGCTCCTCCACCCCCACCCCGTTTTCCTTTTCTGGCCTGTGGGGCCAGCAGAATAGAACAATCTGGGGGTAGGTGAGAAGTGCAGAAGCGTGTTCTCACTGCCAGCCCCTGCGTGCCTAAACAGAATCTGCATTTTAACAAGCTTTCCAGGGAATTTCTAGGCGCGTTAAAGTTTGAGAAGGACTGCTGCCTAACAGGGCTTTGCAAACTTTTCCCGTAAGGGGCCACATGGCAAATATCAGTGGCAACTACTCAGCTCTGCCTTTGCAGCTTGAAGACAGCTGCACACTGAAAGTAACCTAATGAGCATGACTGCATGCCTGTCAAACTTTATTTATGGACACAGCTGAATGTCCTATACTCATATCATGCAAAAATGATATGAAAGAATATTACTCCTGCAGGCCATAGGACGAGCGGAGCATGGCCCATGGTCACAGGTTGCTTCCCCCTTCTCTGTCATGCTTGTTCTCCAACTTTGGGTGTTCACTGAGATCATTTCAGGAGCTGGCTTTTGTCCTTAAAAAAGCCAGAACCTCTGATTCGTGAGGCCCAGCCTCAGAAATTCTGATGTAATGGGTCTGTGGGGAAATCTGGGCATCAGGGCTTGAAAATGCTCTTCAGATCGTTCTAACGTGCAGTGGGACTGGAGAAGTTCAGTGCTGTCGTGTTCTTCAAACAAAGTAAATTTGAAGGGTTCGCTTGTTTGAATTGTAGAATTTGACATAGACCAGGGCAGCCTGTGTCACCTGAGAGCGGGGCTTCTCACAACTGACCCCTTTGATATTTTGTGTCCCCACATCCTTTTCGTGCGTTTGTCCCCATGTGTGCTGCGAGGGCGGCGCAGTACCCTACAGCGTGACCAGTGCCATCCCTGGCTTCTTCCTACAACATGCCAGTAGCGGACTCCCGGTTGTAATAATGATGGAAAGTGTCTTCACTCGCTGCCATCAGTCCCCTGGACGTACTCTTTTGTGCTTACACTGGGTTATTCTACCTCGGTACTGCTGATCGTGACGTGGCTGTCCTGTGAGCTGTAGGGCGTCAAGTTGCGTCGCTGGCTTCTGCTCATGAGAGCTGGCAGCAACCCCCCACAGTGTGTTATCAATGGAAGATCTCTCCAGATGTTGCCTAGTGTCCCCTGGGGGCACAATCACCCCCTGGGGTTGGGGGGATCGCTGCTTAGTGTCCTTCAGAATCCAGGAGGTAGGCCTAGGCTGGGTGACACTTCTGTGTCTTTGAAGTTGGTTTCTGTCTGCTTCTATTTCCCTGGTGCCTGTTGTTTTAAAATTGCAGATGGTTACTTCTTTCCTTCTTAGTTTTTTGGCTCCTTGGAAATCAGCAAAGTAGCAAGGAAGGTCCTGTTTAGAGGGCATGGGAGTGTGTATGAGAGCGGGCCAGAGGCCCTGCGTTTCTCCTCCTCTCTCTCTCTCTCGCTCACTCACTCTCCCTGGGGAAGAATCTGAGCCCTTGTTCCTGCAACCAGGATCACAGACAACTCAGGGCAAATCACTGGGCTGTTATGAACTCAGCCATGGCAACGGCCATCCGCCAGCCCGAGGACAAGACGTGTTTTATTCTGTTGTTCCACTCAAAAGGTTCTAGAGATGCTGGAGACAACATGGCCATTGAGAGTTGGAAGCATTGATGCGTGTTTTCTCTCCCTACTATGTGGTTTATATTTAAACTGTCTTAGGCTAATGCACACTGGGGTTTTTGTGTGAATCAAAATCTAAAAATCTCTTTGGCCAGAGCCCAGTTAAACAAAGGCTTAAGACATTCTGACTTCTAAGTTACTTGTAAAATGTGATAGAAACTCTAGCATTGACTTTTAGTTTTACTCCGTCTGCTTACATGAGTAGATCATGTTCGTCAAAACCTGCTTGCTTGGCCTTTTCAGCTCTGCATTAACCAGCATCACTGCTGATGTGACGCTCCACGGACGTGGTCTGTGGACTTCCAGGAGTGTCCGAAAAAAGTGCTGATGTCCCCTAACTAGCATCAGCTTTCCCCCTGGGGGCTGCTCTGCCGATCCTTGACACCAACCCCACGCCGCCTGCCACTCTTCATCCTGGGGACAGCCCCAGTCCCCGATTCAGTCCCTTTGTCAAGGCCCCCTTCACGGCCCAAGGGAGGGGACCGCACCAGGACTTTCTCGAGCCATGCTCCACCTGCCGCTCCACCTGACTCTGGAGGTGAGCGGTACTCACTCGGCTCAGAGGAAGCCCTCCAGCTGCACTCCTTTCAAGACAGCCGAACAACTTGGAACATTCCGTTCTTCACTGCAGACCCTGGGACTTGCCAGGCATTTGATGGGCAGGCGCTGGAGTGTTCTGGCCAAGCCCGTTGGGCTGCCTCTTAGCGAGAAAACCCCGAACATGGGTCAAGCCCCAAAACAGGCCCTCTGGATGGAGTCGGGAGGGCACACTGCAGGACCGGGAAGAGGGGAGAGGGGACTGCTGGCTAGAAATGGGCTTCTCAGACTCGGGCATGCATGTCACTATGGAGCTTGTGAAGATTAACACTTTGATTCAGCTGATCTGGCGCGGGGCCCAGGTGTCTGCCTTTCTCGCCAGCAACACCCCTCTCTCCCGCCAATGGAGTTGCTGTGGCTTGACCAAGGACCACACTTTGCGAAGCAAAGGGTCTGAGTCACTTTCGAGTGATAAGTGGTCCGCTCATGTCTTGTCTTGGTCTCTGAAAGTTCTTGTTGCCATCCAACAGCAGCTGACAGGGTCCAACTTTAGCTCTTCGGAGCTACAGACCCAAGAAATCAGTTGCCCCCGGAAAGCTTCCCTTGAGATGACGTGCAGTATCCTCAAATGCAACATGTCTAAAATTGAACTCATCTTGGTTCCCCAAGCCTGGCTGTCTTCTGGTTAGCCCTAGGTCAGGGAACAGCACAACAACCATCCAGTTACCCACACCAGACATTTAGGAGTCCTCCTTGGTACTCGTCGGTCCATCCCCAGCCTCACCAGTGAATCCACACCAAGTTGTGCCTATCTGACATGCAAGACAGCTCTCAGACCCATCCGCTGCCTCTGCCCCACTCCAGGCTCCCGTCATCTATCACCTGCATTATGACCCTGGGTTCCTGGTCCTCTCCACATCCCTTCTGTTGCTCAGCAGCCAGACTGCTCTCGTGCAACCCGTCTGTTCCCTGCGGACAAAGATGCTCCGTGGTGTCATTTGGTTCTGGGGATAAAGTCCAGAATCCTTAACGCAGCCTCGAGGGCCCTGGTGGTCCAGGTCCGGTAGACCCCTCATGCTTTCCTTGTCTTGCCCTCCCTCTGCTCTGCATTCTGGCTTCTTGCGGGCCTGGGAAAGTGCTCTGCTCTTTTCCACCACAGAACTTCTCTTCATGCTCTAAGTCCTTCCTAGAACACCTCCCTTACCCATCCTTCTCTCTGCCAAAGGAATTCAAATCCATCCTTCCTATTTAAGTTCTAGAAGCCATCCCTGCACCCCACCCCAAGCCTCTGAAAATTGCCACTCTTTGCTCTTGTAGCACTTGGGAAGTAAAGCCACTGGGTGAATGTACCTTAGCCCATCACCAAGTCCCCAGCACCCAGCTCTGTGCTTGGGACCTCGGAGACAGTTGGTTAGTCCTGACCGTGCACCGATGGAATGAAGCAGAATGAAAGAATGGAGAGTCACTACCTCAGTTCCCTTGCTGTCATCCACACCCGTGTCTGTGATTCCACTTAGCTGACAGCTTCAGGGAGACCAGGCCTTCAGGAGACCCCAGTAACGGAGGTGATGATCAGAGTGGAGTTATGGGCAAGAGTCTCTCGCTGGGCAGTTGTGCCTGGGGGTCGGGGGAAGGCAAGAATCTGTATGTTGAGCACGTGCAGAGATGCCACTGGGCCTGGGACCACACTCTGAGTGCCATGGCCACCCAGGGTGGCTCTGCCGCCCTTCTCTGTGAACGGGGAGCGAGTCCAGCCTTGCAAGCCCCATGCTGTATGTCTGGCTACTCTGCTTGCCACTGTAGGCCACAGGTGGCCACGGTGTGTAAATAAATAGGTACAGCCGTGTTCCAGGAAAACTGTATTTACAAAAACATGGGCTGTATGTAGTTTGCCGACTCCTGGTTTAGGAGAACTTGGAACCTTGACTGTGATGGTTGTGAGAGTGGGAGGTTGTGCCTTGTCCTTCTTTCTGGCCCTGACTCATATCTCTATAGAGCTGGGGCACTGGGCTCAGGATGGCGTGGCCAGCGAGGCGGCGTCTGCCATTCTCGGCCATACTGGGGACACTATGAAATGAAACAGGATGCTCCTGTGGGCCTATCAAGGGAAAAGAAGGCCTCTTGCCTCCTCCCACGTGCCTATACTCAAAATTGGCTCCGGAAGTGGCAGGCCCGGTGCAAAAGGAAGACTCTGACACCCTTGTTCAAAGATGACGACAACTGTCAGGATGGCAATATCAACGCATTCAGCTGAGCATGGGGCCCCCTAAGAGCGCAGGGCAGATGCCTGGGAGGCTGGCCTGAGCACATGTCACCATCCTGGCCTCCGCCGCCACCCTCTGCCACATACGTACCTGCCTGTACTGCCAACATGAGAACACAAACAGTATTGCTATCTGTAGTCAGAAGGCTGATTCTGAGCATTTAGATTTCTGTGGGATAAGTGTGTGGCATAGGCCCAGACCGCCCTTGTGTAAAGATACCTTACAACCTTGGCTAGAGAGAGCTTCTACACTGACCGAGAAAGTCCACTGGGGTGATCCTTTCATAGAAGGTCAGGGGGCCACCGCACATGTAATTTTAGTGCTGCAGGTCACTGACCAGCAAGGTAGAATACACTCTGCATCCAGCTGTGTGATTTCCTACATATTCCTCCTGTGTTGTGTCCCAGAAGCTTCTACTCACATTGGCTGGCAGGATCCATAAGAGTTTTGTCTGTGGGCACCTCAGAGCGTTCAGTCGGTGAAGCCTCTGCCTTCGGCTCAGATCATGATCTCAGGGTCCTGGGATCGAGCCCCGCATCAGGCTCCCTGCTCAGCAGGGAGTCTGCTTCTCCCTCTCCATCTGTCCCTCTCCCCTGCTCACGCGTGCTCACTCTCTATGTCAAACAAATAAATGAATTTTTTTTTTTTCTTAAAAAGCTTTATCTGTGTGTGTGGAACCACAGTGACCAATGTGGTGAGTTGTCGTGTGTGGGAACCAGTACGTGCAGCCACAAAATCATGTGCTGCAAATGTACGAGCACTGGTGGGTGCTGAGAGTGTCATTCATTGATGTGATCCCCCAAATCCTTCAGTCCCTGGTTTACCCTGCTGTTCCCAAACTCGCCCTTCGGCATGGGGTATGTGCAGTCCTTGAGAGCAGGAACTCAGAGAGAAACTTGAGCCTTCCTCTGCTGGTAAATCTGGGCCTGAATGGCTTCGTTCTTCTAACCCCACTTGCTTTTCTGAGCCAGGGAGGAGCCGCGATCATTCCTTTGAAAGAAACAGAATGCTCTAACTCTTTGGATGAAAGACTGTTTTGAAGTGGCAGCTGTGGGCTTGGAAGGCCGAGTGTTGCCATTCAAGGGCAAGCATGCCGCCCCACCACAACCCCCCTTGCTGCCATGAGGAAGGACATGGTCTTCCCAGAATGCATCTGTGGGACGCACTTGAACATCAGCCCGGCTGACGTGTCCATGCTGGCATGTCTGCTGTGTGCCTGGCCTGCACACTGGGTCTTTCTGTAGAAGCCTCCAAAGAGTACTGAATGCATGAAATCACTCCCACTCACTTTTCAGAAAAAAGAAAAGACAGCAAGTCAAAAATGCATCTTCCAAAGCAGGGTTCTGCGAGAATAGAATGTTCCATAGTTACTGTGCAGTATGGTAGCCTGTAGCACGTGCGGCTGTTGAGCATGTGAAATAGGACAACTGAGGAGCAGAATTGTTTTATCGGCCGCTCTGTTGGACAACATGGTCCCAAGGGCACCCAAGTCTCTTGGTCCAGTGGGGACCAGCTGTGACTTGGTTAGCTGGGGAAGCAGGTGTTCATCTTGATCTTCACACCATCTTACAGGCTGAGAAGGGGGGAGGGGGGAGCGACACCCCACACCAGGGTCTGTGTGCTCTTTACGTAGTGGGACACGAGGCTGAGGGCTGTCGTTGCTCTTGCTTTGGGAGTCTGGAGAGAACTTGTACTTTCAGTGGCCCGCTTCTCCCCTCCTCTCATTCCCCAGAGAGCTGTATGACAGAATGAGATGGAACGCCATCCTCCTTGTTCCCAAATAGCAAGTATCCAAAGCTCTTGACTTGCTGGTGAACTTGAACTGTTCTGCGCACTGATTCCCGTTGTACGTGGTTTCATAAACCCATTTCACGGAGGTTGGTCTCCATGATGACAGCCAGCCGTCTTTTTTACAGTGAAAGAAAGCACACTTTCTTATTTAGCCTGGACCTTTCCTTATTTTCCATAACTGAAGAGGAATCTGGTTTATAGTCCTCTCTTGTGGTGGGTTTAGACAGACGCTGCTTTTGAATGGGATGCTCCTCAAAATGGCGCTGCCCATCTCCAGTCCTTCCCTGTCTACTGGAAAGACCATTCGGGGGTGTGGGTTGCAGCTGGGTTAATGTGCTGGCCTTGAAGTAAATAACTGCTCTCGATTGCGATTAAACATCATGATGCATTCAGGTTCGATTTCTCAGACAACCCATTTACTTAAAGTCCTGGGCGATACAAACAGGATACCTAACCCCAAGGCCACCACTGCTTTAGATGAAGCAGAGATGTCTCCAAACTGAAAATGTCACCTGTCTCTGTCCCCTGGGGGAGCATTATGGACCTCATCAGTAAAAGTTTATTTTAAAAATGAAGAAATATCATCTTAGGATGAACAGTTAATTGTGGCTCTTCATTTCACTTCATGGATGCTCATTTTGTCTTTATCTGTTTTGTTTTGTTTTTCTTTTCTGTTCCTTTGCCTTCAAGTACTTAAATGTCACCCGCCAGTTCTGGATTCTTACTCTGAACACATTTTGGGGAAGGAGGCAGGTGGAAGCATGGTGGGAGAAGGGAGAGAAGGGATAACGCACTGCTGGTGTTGCCTGGGCTGGGCAGACATTTTTATTAAAGAGATGAAGGGATTTGATCTTGACATGAAAGAAACCTGAGTGGACCCACTTGAGTGGATGTTGGTGACTTTGTACTTGTAGGGACCAAAGACATCCATCACCTTTCCACAATGACCATGTTGATATTTTTTTCTGAACCCAGCTTCACTGCTGTCCTCTCTGCTGACTTTGTTAGTGGAACAACCGCTCCTCCTTGTCACTCAAGCAGCACCCCCATCCCCGCCAGCCCCAGGTCAATGAGGAAGCCCTAGAACTGTGACTTAGTCCCCAACTCATCGGCTCGTTGCTCTGCTACTCACCCGGAGTACATTAAGCCACGTTCGCCTCTTGGAGCCCCGGGGTCCTCCCCACCAGAATGTGAGTCAAGGACAGCCACCCCCTGGCCCTCGGCGTGGTGAGCTTAATCGCAGAGCACTAGAGGGGAGCTGGCAAGGGCAAGCTCTCTCTGCGAAGGGCTGGTGTTGATGAAGACCGAGATGTCTCGCCCGTAACCGCTGCCTTTTCTCTCCTTTGAGTCCAGGCTGCTTTGAATGCTGCATCAAGTGTTTGGGAGGGGTCCCCTATGCCTCTCTGGTGGCCACCATCCTCTGCTTCTCTGGGGTCGCCCTGTTCTGTGGCTGCGGGCACGTGGCCCTGGCAGGCACCGTGGCAATCCTTGAGCAGCACTTCTCCACCAACACCAGTGACCACACCCTGCTGAGTGAGGTGTAAGTACTGGCTTCCCCGGGGAAGGGCATCCACCAGGCGACTGCCCCGGAATGGCCCTGCTAGCAGGAAAGGGAGGCTTTTGGTTAATGCCTACTTGGACACAGGCAGAACAAAAGCCCAGGGAGAAGGCAGGAGAAGGAAGGGCTGAGAAGGCAGGCAATGTTTGGCCCCGGGGGTGTCTGGCCCAGGTTGCTGTCGGGTGGGTTGTTGGGGGGCTGCCAGCAGTGGGATGGGAAGGGGTCCCAGGACGTGGCACAGCCTCATCACGCTCTCTGTCCAGAGACCCACAGAGTCTTCTCTTCGCTGTGACAAATGTCACCCTTGCAGCTGTTGTCATCCTTCCCCCAGGATACAGCTGATGCAGTATGTCATCTAAGGTATCGTGTTCTTCTTCTGGTACGGGATCATCATGTTTTTGAGTAGAAAGTTGTGAAAGGAGGTCACTTGTGTATTGTCTCTGTACCCCCTCGCGTTTGTCTCTGAATGTGGACTGTGGCCCTGAAGACGGTGTACTGTGAGAAACTGTCCCATTCGTTCTGGAAGTACCGAGTGCTTTTTCTACTAAGCACCCGGCTGCGGATCTTGCTAGTCACTCTGGGTGTGCAAAGAGGAAAACACAGGCTCTCGTCCTCAGGCCATTCAGAGGCAACTCCAGCCCTTGGGCCAAATCTGGGCTGCCATCTGTCTCCATGCAGCCCACGAGCTGAGAATGTTTTCTATCCTTAGATTGCTGTGGAAGGTTATATGTGGGAACGAAGTGAAAGTCGCATCCGGGCACCCTAGGTGTGTTGGCCACCGGCCCCACGCGTGAGTTAGTGTGCCATGCGCTGCTTCGTGCTCTCCCAGCAGAGCCGAGGGGTCAGGACACGGCCGGCGCGTGGCCTGCACAGCCTCCCTGGTCCCTGCCAGGCCTTTCACAGACATGGGGAACCTTGAAAGACGGGCTTCTTTTTTTTTTTTTAAAAGATGACTTTTTTTAAGACTTTATTTATTCATTTGACAGAGAGAGATCACAAGTAGGCAGAGAGGCAGGCAGAGAGAGGAGGAAGCAGGCTCACTGCTGAACAGAGAGCCCGATGTGGGATTCGATCCCAGGACCCTGAGATCATGACCTGAGCTGAAGGCAGAGGCTTAACCCACTGAGCCACCCAGATGCCCCGAAAGACGGGCTTCTTGAGTGTCCCAGAAGGAAACTCGGTGGTGGGTTGGGCAGCTGGGATGGGGGGGATGTGTCCGTGCAGCTGCTCATCCCCGGACGGACCCTTGGTCCTAAGAAAATGGCTGAAAGGCCCTGTCCCTCAGTTCTGCTATTTCAGAGTCCCCCAGGAAAGGGGGGTGCTCCCACGAGCCAGCAGTGTGCCCCAGCTGGAACAGAAGAGTCTAGTGAAGGAGGATGAAGTGATGCTGCTTGGGAAAGGGAGAGACCAGGTCAGGAAAGGCCCCAAGTGCCAGGCTTAGAATCCACTGTTGAACAGGGAGTGCTGGGATCCCACACACGAAGGCGAGCGCGATCTCCGAGTGGCTGGGAAAATGGGGCCGGGGGTGGGATGGGGGAGGCAAGATCAGCCAGAGCGGGGTGGGAGCTGGTGCACAGCAGAGATCCCAGTTGGGCCCCTGTGGCAAAGTGGAGGGTGGGGGGCACCAGCCAAGTGGGGATAAGCTGGCCGCTTAGGACTGGGCCGTGGGACTAATCACGAGAGGATGGGATGAGGGGCCAGTCTCCAGCTGGGCCGTGTGTGCTTTCAGTCGCTGGAGACCATGGTGGGAGGTAGGTGGAGTGTTACCAAGAATGCTGGGCTGGAGTTTCTGCGAACACTCGGGCTGGAAATGACAGAGACTGGTGGTAGGCATGAACAAGGTGACAGGATTGTGGAGGAAAGCGCCCTGAGGAAAAGCATGGTCTACCAGGAAGACCCCAAAATAGGAGCCTTGAGGGAGAACGAAGGCGAAACAGCCAAAGATGTAAGGACTGTCCTGCATGTAAAGACATGCCCCCCCTCTAAGGGTGCAAACAATCTGATAGAGCCTTGGGTCCTATCTCCATGTCACTCCTGCTATGAATGCCCACCTCCCAGTCCTCTGAATCCACAGGTGATGGCAAGTGGCACCTTGGGGGCTGGCATCTCTGACCTGGTGAGCTCTGGAAAGTTCTCTGATAGCTGGTTCTGCCCTGGCTCTGCCCTCCGGCAGGCTACCACACTGCCCATCCTGTCCTTCATCAGGGCCTGGGCTAATCTTAGTTCCCACAGCATGACTGCCCCCAGCCTGTACCTGTGACAGTCGTCCTGAGGGCAGGGCTGCCAGCTGTGATGCCCATGTGGACAGCGCTCCTGCGAGAGGCCGGGGGCCTCTCTCTGCCCACTGACTGCCATCAGTGAGGTCTTAAGCCTGGCGCAGCTCTTTGTTACTGTCCCTGTCAGCGCCAGGCCGGGGAGATAGTGCGCATGGGGAGCCATTCCATCAGCACGGAGCCGTGTGGGGCTGGGTGGCACCGTGTGAGCTCCCCGGAATGACAGCATGTGGAGGACTTCAGAATGACACCGTTGGGATTTCAGCCTTGGCGGGGCCCCTATGGGATCCATGTGCCTCCTCTGTGCTCACGTGTAGGGAGGGAGGCGTGCATGCGCCCCCACGTGTTTGTGTGCCCGTACACATGGCGTGTCCCGGGCTATGTCGCCTCCAGAGGAGCAGAGGTGGGACGGATGCTGTGCTCAAACTATGTGCGGCAGTGAACCCCCCCGCTCATTTGTTTAAGCCTTTAGTTCTTGGATGATAGGAGCCCCTCCAACTCTGCATACCCTATGAGACTGTCCTGATGGGACTATCATTTCAATTTGGCTTTTTAAGTCCACAGAACAGGGAAGTAAATGAGTTTAAAACTGTTGTTTAAAAAAAGATATGACTACTCTCCAACTTGTGGGGGGAGTGCTTACTTTGGGGAAGGAAGCAACCGTAGGAGGAAGAAAAGTCAGGAGCCTAGGGGAGAAAGCAGAAAGTAGATGTGTGGGGGGACCTTGAGCCATTCCCCCCTCCATTTGGGGGGTCCTGTTTCTGTCCCAACGCAGGGCACATCTGCCTGGTGTTGAACATGTTGGGGGACGGAGTCTTTGTGAAGTCGCTCCCCGAGGTGGTCCTAATCCCTTGGCAGCCCGTGAGAGCAAACTGAAACCAAAGCCAGAGTCAGGGCGCTAGAATCCCAGAAGAGAAAACTTAAGAAGCAGCCATGCCCCGTGCCCCATCGGCTTTCCCTAAGCCAGCTGCTGCACTAGCAGCCTGTGACACGGGATCCAAGCTTGGACTCTGTGTCTGTCCTCGCGACGCCTCTCTCCGCGCTCGTGCCGCTGGTGCTGCCCCAGGGCAGCAGATGTGTGTCTACACATGCCTGCACAAGTCGTGAAAAATGTTAATGTGCCTCAGTTTACCTTATAAAGGCGATCAATAGGGGGAAGGTAGAGAGTGCCTTAGAGCTGGTGCCAAGAGAGTGCCTTGGAGCTAGGAGGGGGAGGGCCTGATCTCAGAGCGGTTCTTGGGGACAAGGCACGAGTGTGCACTAGGCTTCTGGCCCAACAAGTCAGGCATGAAGACCTCCACCACGGCCCCAGCACAGCTCACTTTTATCTTTTACATGTTCAGTTTTATTGAAGAAAAGCTCTGTTCAAAAATGTTGAAAAGCCACCCTTGGGCACCTTGAACACGGGTTGGCTTCATACGTCGTACTTCACGGCCGCTGGGGCGGTGAAACATAGAAGGGCCGGAACGGCTGCAGCAATCCTGTGGCCAGCACATCTGTCAGCGCCATTTTCCCAAAGTCTTTATCCGTTTCGAGTCTGTCCCATTTTGGTACTTCTTACAATACTGCAAACTTTCTCATTATTCTGTTGGTTGTGGGGATGTCTGACGTGGCTAGAGGCAGTAACTGACACAGGCTGGGTCCGTTCTTCCTGCTCCACGGACCAGCCATCGGCCCCATCTTTCTCCCTCGGGCCTCCCTATTCCACGAGACACAAAAGTATTGAAATCAGGCCAGTTACTAACCCTACAGTGGCCTCCAGGTGTTCAAGGGAAAGGAAGAGTCACCTGTCTCTCTCACTTTCCACCAAAAGCTAGAAGTGACCAAGCTTAGCGAGGAAAGTAAGTGGAGAGCCCGGCCAGGCGGAAAGCCAGGCCTCTTCTGCCAAACAGCCGAGGAGCGAATGCGAAGCAAAGTTCTTAAAGGAAATGAAAGGTGTTAGTCCAGTGAACACACAAGCAATAAGAGACCGTTGTAGTTCTCTGGACAGAAGGGCAGACCAGCTGGAACATGGGGAGGAAGCCGCAGAAGGGAGGTCGGAAGCCAGCAGAGGTGGCTTCGTGGGCTCTAAGGGAAGAAGCCGACCCCGCAACGTCAGAGCGCCAAGTGCAGTGGCGCGGATTTCGATTGGAGACCAAACAGCCTTCCACTGGAGGAAGATGCCCCCAAGGACTTTCGTAGTTGGAGAGGAGAGGTCAGCGCCTGGCTTCAGAGTCGCAAAGGGCAGGCTGACGCTCTGGCTAGTGGCTGGGGACGGAAAGGGCTCCTGCTGAAGCCGTCGCGGCACTGGAGAGGACTCGGTCCAGTTCTGAAAGCGGTTTGGTGGTGACACGCTCTCGCACAGCCGGGCCTGCTGCAGCACTGCGGAGTGAAAGGAAGAGGATCTGCCGCACAGACATCACTGCCGAGCAGCCAGCAGCGACCTTCTGCCCGCTGGAAGACGGACCTACTTAAAGCTCAGGTGACGGTTAGCGTTTTTGAGCAATAAATAAAGTGTATTTTCTTAAAGGTCAGTACCTTGTCTTTTCCAGACCTAATGTTCTTGCACACTGACCAGACTACAGTATAAAGAGGAGTTTGCACTGGGAAACCCCCAAATTAAATTGACTTGCTTTACTGTGATGGTCTGGAACCAAACGGCAGTTTCTTGGAGGCAGGATGGTACCTTTGAGGGGACCGGGGAACAGACCTGCCTTAGAGCATGCTAGGTGACCGGGAGGCCTGATGACAGCTAGGGCAGACCAGCTTCCGCCAGAAAGCTCCGTGAGCTCTGCCCACCCGGGACAGCGAAGCTGCCCTTTGTCCATGAGCAGGCCCGGTGCTCACCGGTCCATTATGAGAAAGCCGCTGCTGGGGAGCGCATTCTGGAAGCGCCTGATGACCTCTGGAAGGCCATGTTCAAGTCTTTTCTTTTTAGTAACTCCGCAAAGATCCTTTTGAAGGGTGGGTAAGGAAAAAGCAGCCTGCTCTGGAGCAGCCCATCCATAAGCACAGGGCTCACAGGGAGTGTGAAACTGCTGAAATGGGCTTTACTCTCCCTAGAAATGCAAAAGCCTCTAAGTATCCGTGCCCCTGAGATACAAGCAAAGGTGACTTCTGCAGTTTCCTGCGGTGTGAGCCTGTCCCTCAAGCAGCCCTGAGCAACTCCAGCGCTTTCTTGCAGGATGGAAAGGGACACCGGGTCTGCAGGTCTTGAGCATTGCCTGAAGAAGAGAAGCGCCCGATGAGAATGGCAGAGCATCGCCCACAAGCCCTGTGGGTGCCGGATCTGCAAAGAGGACTACCCTGACGTGACGTTTTTGGAACGGCTTTCACCATTCTCTGAAAACTGGTAGTCAAGGCAGGTTAGGCGGTGAAGCGAAGCCCCCCAACGAGGTTCTTCCCGAAGCCGTCCATGCCCACGTGTGCAGAGCAGGCCGGAGAGCGGCCGTGCGCATAGAACTGCGGATCTTCCACATGACAGCAGAGAGGGAAAGGGCTGTTGTACCAGACACTGCCTTAAGCTTGTGTTCAGGGCTGTTTCAGACTGTTACCTAATGCGTTTGGTGATTTCGCGGGCCTGTGAAACTAGGGAAGTTCCTTTCGAGAGAGGGCTTCCTGGAGCACCTGTCACCGTACTACGCTTGCGTCGCAGAACATCAAGGCCCCTGAAAGCAGCCGGACGCTCCGCACGGTGAGTCCAGGAAAGAGCGGCAGGTGGGCGGCCAGCTCCTGAGAAGGGGACCTGCACAGGCGGTCACACTGTCCATCGTGGAGCTCCAGAAAGCATGACTGCCCTGACCCAGGAGAGGCTTCCCCTCTCCTTGTCACTGTGCCCATCGCTCCTGTGGCCCAGGCGATGCTGGGAGCTATTTTTGAAGGAATTTTTGAAAGTTTTTTGTTTAAGTAGTCTAATATTTTTTTGTTTTGCTCTGTATAAATTTTTGTAACCTAACAGTGAATCAATATTTTCTATCAGCCAAGGGCTTCCTGTAGTTCTATTCAAATATTCAAGTGTTACAATAAATATTTGTAGATAATAGCCAATACTTGTGTATGCTTATTTTAAAGATCTATTTAGGTGGAAACAGTTGTGGATGTACTAAGAGTAATGCAATAAAGGTATAGCTTCACTCGCCTTTTTACCATACATAAGTACTCTTCCTTCTCTAGCTGCAGTACAATGTCATTTTTCAATAGTATGCATGATCAAGATTTCACATGTGTGTTTCTAGGAGGATGCTACCCCCATCTCTATAGTTGTGTGAAGTACAGAAATTTTCTGACTAGCGTTGGCAAATAAAGCAATTATACATATGGGATTAACACAAAGCTTAAGTGTGGGGAAAGTAAAAACAATGTTGAACCTTCCCAAGGTACCATGTTCCACTGGCTCCTTTACAAACCCAAGGTAGAAAAATCTAGATCTGTGGGGGGGCGGGAGGAAAAAATGCTCTGGATCTAACAGTTAACTCTCAAAAGCAGCAGAGCTAAGTTTGTTACTTAGGATCTCTTTTTACTATCCATTTACTTACCTGTTAGCAAGCTTAGGCACTGGGATTTTCATCATCTGAAGTTTCTGAGTGAGGACCACCAACCCTTGTCACTTACTGAGCCATGGCTGTTGCTGAGGTGCCACCTTGGGATCCTTGGCAGAAGAACACTTAGGACCCCAATTAGTATGCTCTTTGTCACACTACTTAAAATCTGCTTTTGTAGCATTTTGTGCAGTTAAGTTACATAATAAACTGTGAGTATGTCTAGATGAGATCACATGCAGTCTCTCATGGACAGTAATCTGGCCACAGAGCACAGGAATCTCTAGAGGACAGAGTAGCAACCATTCATTTCTCTTAACTCTGCCTTGTGAACTTTGACTTTCAAATTGGTAAAGAGATGAAAACAAAGTCACAATTTAAGTCCATTAAAAAATGACAAGTAAAGATTCCACAGTAAAAAACTTGAAAAAAATCCTTTCAGGGCTTTTTAATGCTAGGATAGTCCTACTATTAGAAGATTTAAAAGAGACGATCCCCTTGTTAGTATCTTCTCCTAAGGCATGAGCTCTTGCTCTAGCCAGGGCAGGGCGCATCTGCTCAAGATGTTTGTGCAAAATCTCAAAATGAATATTAGGATGCATAAAACTACCAAGAGTTTTGAGGAAACAAAAATACAAACACAGTTAAGTCAGGTTGGGCCAAGAAGATCCTTTTTCCAGCCTGTGCCCCAGCCTTCCTCACTGTCTCCATACTGGAACTTGACCCACTGGGGAAGGTGTTAATAGAGATGTGTTCAGGGGGTCTTGTCAGGAGGGACCAGGAGAGGGACTTCTCAAGTCACACGTCCCACATCCATAGCCTTCTAGAGATGCGACCACCTAAAAAGGTACATAAGAAGTGTCTGATCTTTAAATGGGATCTGTCCTGATGTAGAATGTTAATACCACTTAGAGTTTAAGTTGACTGAAAAGTGAAGCTATCAAACCTCAAGCTCTAAAACAATATACAATGAGTTACTTACACAAGGTCTTTGAAAATACAAGGTGGGGAAGAACGGAGTCCTATCAAAACGTGTTAAGAAGTGAGCTGAGGGTTCTGGCCCAAGATGGGGACAGAGAAGGCCCCTGAACAACTCCCCAGAACACAGCAAATGCACCACTACACCCAGATTCTTTTTTTTTTCTTTTTAAGATTGATTGATTTATTTATTTGATAGACATCACAAGTAGGCAGACAGGCAGGCAGGGAGAGAGAGGAGAAGCAGGCTCCCTGCTGAGCAGAGAGCCCAATGCAGGGCTTGATCCCAGGACCCTGGGATCATGACCTGAGCCAAAGGCAGAGGCTTTAACCCACTGAGCCACCCAGGTCCCCCCCCCCCCCCAGATTTATTTTTGATGAAAAAAAAAATCCAACTGCCTGAGCAACTCTTCTACACACTGAAATGGGCAGGAAAAGCTGAGCCAAGCCTTCACCATAAACCCCAATCCTGACCTGATGACACACAATCAGCCAGAAGCTGCCAACCCCAAGGTTCCCCTCGAACAGATCGGACCCCACATTTAGCCTCTCAACTTTTAACACAAAGATGGGCCCCTAAAATGGCTTTTTTTTTTTTTTTAAGATTTTATTTATTCCTTTGAGAGAGACAGAGACAGAGCACAAGCAGTGGGGGAGGGAGAGGGAGAGGGAGAAATAGACTCCCCACTGAGCTGGGAGCAGACATGGGGCTTGATCCCAGGACCTGGAGATTATGACCTGAATCAAAGGCAGATGCTTAACCCTCTGAGCCCCCCAGGCATCCTGAAACATCTCTCTTAAGCCAACAGGGCTTGTAGCCATGAGCCAGGCAGAAAACTAACAAATCGTGCTTAACCAGCCCTAGAGGACTATCTCTTGATCTTTCCCTGAAAAGGTTCTATTTGCATATATTAAAAACTGTTGCCTCAGAGTCCAGCTTCTACATTAAGCACACATCTAGAGGCTGCCTGCTAAGCCACCAGAAAACAGGGAAGGCAGCGGATACCTCCTCAGTCCACTCCCCTCTAGCCCACTCCAAAGCACCTGTATCTCCCCGGAAGGAGCTTATACATATTGGGCCTCAGTTTTCATGGCTGCCACCCAACATATCCCGGGAGCACCTGGCTTGACAGGCCATGCTGCTTGCACTCAGAAGTTCCACAGAACTACAGGGGGAAAAAAAAAAAAAAAGTGGGCGCAGGAGCAACACTCCCCCAACTCCACCTCCTTGGCCAAGTGCAGAAGAACTCGGCCTAGGGAAGATAGGAAAAACACCCATCTCACAGTTGACCTCAAAAGAGGCATAACTTCATGCTTTCCCAGCAGCTGTCTGAGAGTCTGGCTTCTACTAAGACTGCGGATGTGTGTGCTGTGATTTTCCCCACAGGAACACTACGCAGTCTTGACAAACACTCAACTAGCAGCAAACACCAAGAACAAAACAATTGTCTTAGATGGTCACAAAAATTTAAGAAGCAACCAAGAGCTTGGGCCAGCCTGACTGACCTGGGCACCTCCTACCCAAGACAACTCTAGCGTAGGATAGGTGCCTGGTCACAGGCTAGAAGTCAACACACAGCATGAAGGAAAATGAAGAGACAATGGAGTATGGTCTCAACAAGAGTCAAACTCCAAAACCAAACTGTAATAAAATAGAAAGAAGTGACTTACCCAGGAGTATGAAGTAAGCTCTACAGATGCTCACGAAGGTCAGAGCCATACATGAACAAACCGAAAATCTCAACAAAGAGAAAATTAAGTATCAAATCATACAGCTGAAGAACACAGGAACAGCTAAAAAATTTGGTAGATGGGTCAAGAGCAGACTAGATCAAACAGAAGAAAGGATCAGCAAACTTGGAAAAAAGCAGTGGAAAATTCATCTTGTCAGAGAGTCAGGAAGCCTGAAGAGTTCCAAAAAGAATCAATCTAAAGAAATGCACACGGACACAGTGTAACTGAAGTGGCCAAAGTAAAGAATCTTAAAGCAGGAAGAGAAAACCTTGCAACATACAAAGGAAACCCCGTAAGACTACCAACAGATTTGTCAGCAAAAACTTGACGGTCTATTCCAATTGGTAAGAAGAAACTGCCAACCAGGAGTAATACCACACTCACAAAGTTGTCCTTCAGAACCGAAGGAGAGAGAGTTTACCAGACAAGAGCTAAAGGAGGTCATGACCACAACATCAGCTTTACATGTTAAAGGGAGTTCTTCAAGCTGAGATGGAAAGATGCTAATTAGCAACAGGAAACTCTATCAAAGTATAAAACTCACTCATAAAGGTAAACATGCAGTTAAATTCAGAATACTCTACTGTTTTAACAGTGTTGGGTAAATCACAACTCTAGTGTGAAGATTAAGAGATAAAAGTACTAAAAATTAACTATAAAATAATTTGCAAAGGAATATCAAAACAGAAAGTGGAAGCAATGTATAAATGTAGACATTCAAACGTAAGTTGTTATGAGCTAAAATTAGACTATTACAGGGGCGCCTGGGTGGCTCAGTCAGTCAAACGTCCGACTATTTCAGCTCATGTCAGGATCTCAGGGTTATGGGACTGAACACCACATTCAGCAGGAGTCTGCTTGAGATCATCTCCCTCTTCCTCTGCCTAGCCCCCTGCTCAACCACTCTCTATAATAAATAAATATATCTAAAAAAAAAAAAAAAAAAAAGACCCGTGTTACATACCTTTTATGTAAGCTCCATGGTAATCACAAAGCAACAATTTGTAGCACATACACAAAAGATGAAACCCAGTGCCTGGGCAGCTCAGTCAGTTGGTGTTTGCCTTCAACTCAGGTCATGATCCCAGGGTCCTGGGATCAATCCTCCTTTTAGGTTCTCTATTCAGTGAGGAGCCTGCTTCTCCTTCTCCCTGCCACTCCCCCTGCTCAAACTCTAAGAAATAAGTAAATTCTTAAACAGATGAGAGCCCAAGCATACCACTACTGAAAATCATCAAAATACAAAGGAAGAAAAAGAAACAAAGGAATTGCAAAACTATCAGAAAACAACAACATGGTGATTGTAATCTTGTACCTATTGATAATTACTTTAAATATAAAAGGACTCAATTCCCCCAATTCAAAGACACAGTGGCTAAATGGATTAAAAAAAAAACAACAACGACAACCAAGATCCATAAATAGGCTGCCTACAAAACACTCACTTGAGCTTTAAGGACATACCAGACTGAAAGTGAAGGGATAGAAGAAGATATTTCATGCAAATTGCCCAAACAAAGTAGGGGTAAATATACATAAATCAGAGAAATAGATTTTAAGCCAGAAACTAATAAGAGACAAAAGAAGCTCATCATATAATCAAAAAAGGATAAATTCATCAAAAAAATACAGCATTTGTAAATATTGATGCACCCAACATCAGAACACATACACATATAAAGCAAATACGAACAGACCTTAAGGGAGAATGAGACAGCAATATGATCGCAACAGGGGCTTGAAAACCCCATTTCAATGATGGAGATCATCCAGACAGAAAATCAGTAAGGAAACACT